GGTTTCTGGCCCATTTGCACAATCAGGAGCTCTGGTGAAGACCAAGTGGTTCATAGTTTCTATCTCTCAACCCCCCACCTCACCACCTCAGTCTCCGCCCCGAATCCACACCTACTGAGCGACATATCAGACTGGATGTCGCTCCACTTCCTTAAACTGAACCTCTCCAAAACCGAGTTTCTTATCTTCCCCCCCAGCCCGGACACCACAACCCATTGACTTCTCCATCACATCCAACAACGCCACCATCAAACCTGCCCCGCAGGCCAGAGTACTTGGTGTCATTCTGGACTCCAACCTATCCTTCCAGCCTCAAGTCCAATCTTTAACAAGCTCGTGCAGACTCCACCTCCGCAACATCGCCAAAATATGCATGTTCCTAACCCCAGAAACAACTAAAACAGCTCATCCACTCCCTCATCATATCACAACTCGACTACTGCAACTCCCTCCTCACTGGCCTGCCTCGCCGCTGGCTATCCCCGCTTCAGTCCATCCTGAATACGGCTGCCAGACTCATTCACCTTTCCAACCGCTCCATCTCCGCCACCCCCCTCTGCCAATCCCTCCACTGGCTTCCGATTGCGCAACAGATCAAATTCAAAATCCTAACACTGACGTACAAAGCTGTCCACCACACTGCCCCGAACTACATCACCGACCTAATATCCAAAGTACCACCCAGCACGCACAAGACCTCCCCTTCTCTCTAGTTCCCTGGTCTTCCTCCTCCCATGCCCGCCTCCAGGACTTTCTCCAGGGTGTCACCCATCCTCTATGGAACTCCCTGCCCCAACCCATCAGATTTAACCTCTCTCCTCTCCTTTAGGCGCACCCTGAAAACCCACCTCTTCAGGGGAAGCCTACCCCGCCCCCTGCTAACTTGCCGACCTCCTCCACTCTTCCTACCACCCCATCCCCCACAGCTATCTCCTCCTGAACCACTATCCCTCCCCCCTAGATTGTAAGCTCGAAAGAGCAGGGCCCTCGATCCCCTCATGTTTTGCATTGTATTGTTGTTGTTCTGTCACATGTTCAGTCCCCCTTTGTAATGTACAGCGCTGAGCGAAACCATTGGCGCTTTATAAATACTGTATAATAATAATAATAAAAGTTTCTGCACCCTGGGAGAGTCCATGTCACATGCCAGAGGGTACTGTAACAACTATACTTATGACCTTGCAGGCTCCACCCATTGCAAGAATTATCCCACATCTCTATCAGCAAACAAAGAGGCAGACCAGTTGCCAGGATGGGATGGAGCCCCATAATCTTATGGTGATTTGTTAGGGGGGTATATAAAGAGTACATTTGCCCCTATCTTCATAAAGGGCCGGTCATGGAGCGAAATGTCGCTATCAAGGACAGGAGCTACTATGTTTTGCATCACCCTCTTTTTATAAAATAAAATGAAAGTTTTTAAAGAAAGACCTGAGTGCGAATGTTGGATCCTGTGATTTTCCAAAGAAGGTTTCATAGTCTTTGCATCAGGAACTGTTCAAGGTTTCCGGTCCAGATCTAAAAGTAGTTAGAAACCTACCACTAGGCCTAACTACAGCTACAGTCTTTTTTGCTTTGTTTTGGATCTAGTAGGTAAGAATGAACCTTTCTCTTCTGTTTTATTACAGTCTGAAACCCCATTGGTGAAATGTTCCTTTGCATCCTGTTCATAACAGCTTTACACAGAATGGGAAAGGGGGTGGTTGCTACTGGGACAAGAAGACATAGACACCATTGTCAGAAGTCCCTGCACTTCGTAATTCTGGTTAACATGTTCTTATGTTTTTGTCTGTGTTGCCATGGGATAGATTAGACAGAAGGCAATAAAAACCCAAAAGAGGATCCCCACTCTATCCAAGACACAATAAGCTGTTTGCCTGGATTTAAAATAAAACCTTCCTCCCAATAAAACCAATGTACCATGGAAATGACATAATCAAATGAAAAATCTTGCCTATAGTGTTTTCTCTAAACCTAACAAATGGAAAAAAGTACTGTTTAACTGAAATTGTGCAATTGGTTTTTGAAGACTCCTTTGTCTAGTTCCCTGACATTGAACCTGTGGCTCAAAGTTTGCATGCAGCACATTGAAACCAGACGTCAGCATTGGGAGCATTGACTTGTAAAAAGACTGTAATAGCAATGATCTGTGGCAGTAACATGTGCCCAGTCTTTTATGACATTTCCAGTTTCCAACCACACACCTGTAGCATGCCTATAAACTCTCACCATCTCCTGCAGTATGGCTACACCTTCTATAGCACTTCATATACTGTGTGGCCCCTTGGACATGTTAGAGGCTGCAGTTGAGGCCTACTTATACCTCGTAAGTTGACCACCACTGCTCTAGATAATGGAAGTGAAGATACCAACCTTGTGATGGTCAGTATTCAGGCAGGTAGACAAAGCAACTAGGACTTTTTTTTTATTGAAGACTAGTTTAAGGTCCAAAGACAACTTGGCCCGACTACAGCCGTTGATATTCACATGACCCATCTGTTCCATCAAGGAGACAGCTGTGGGTTGACCACAGTATGAATTCATGCTCTACATGAGGGACTTTGGAATTTCCACTGCTGTTGGCACTTTCCTACCGCACAGATGGGTTACCTTTCCTTGCCCGTGACCTTTCAAAAACAAATATACTGTACACAAGAAGCATGGCTGAACAGATGTTCCCTGCCCATTAGTTCAAATAGTGACCCTTTGATTAAAAAGTCTTTAAGCAGGGTTTACATATAGCTTTCTATCATAGGCTCACCTTTCACCATTTTCCAGACGTAGATCTCTACATCTTCAGACGCTTCCTTCTCGATGGCAATTTTGCGCAGATTTTCCTTCTGTTTTGCAGTGGTGGGTGACATGTACATATAGACTAGGATCTTATTGGGGTTCTTCACACATCTGGTGGTGGTGACCTCCTCGGTGGGCTTCACTTTGTCATCTGTGAGCAAAAAAAGTTAACTTCAAATGCTCTAATATTCAACAAATGAAGGACAAACACAGGGACACAAGAATGAAGAGAAAATGTTTATAGATGCTGTTTATGCAGAACTGTCTAACTGTTGGTATTACCCTGCATAGTTTTGTAACATCAGCAACAACTGAGACCGAAATATTTATACCAACCTCAAAGTCGTTTATGAACAAGTTATACAGAATTGGTCCCAGTACAGCAGCTTGGGGCACCCAGCTCACAACTACAGATCATACAGAAGATACGCAATTTAGCACCACCCTTTGGACGCATTCCTGAAACCAGTTTTCTGTTCAGGTATATACATGATCATCTATGCCAATTTGTACATTAAGAGTTTATGGGGAGCTGTATCAAATGGTTTGGTGAAATCTAGATACACTACATCCATAGTCCTTCCTCTGTCCAGATTACAGCTTACTTCCTCATAGAATGGTAATAGGTTAGTCTGGTAAGAACGATCCTTCATAATTGAATGCTGGTTACTACAAATGATACTATTCTTATCAGCAAATTCTTGTTATATATAGCCCCTTATCCTTTCCAATAGTTTACATACTATTGAAGCTAGGCTGACTGGCCTGTAGTTTCCTGGTAGTATCTCGGCCCTATTTGATTAATGGTACCATATTAACTTTTCGCCAATCAGCTGGTACCATTCTGGTCAGTAAGCTCTCTTTAAAGATTAGGAATAATGGTCTAGTAATGACAGAGCTAAGTTCTTTAAGAACTCTTGGATGTACAGTGCCTTGAAAAAGTATTCATAGCCCTTGAAATTTTCCACATTTTGTCATGTACAACCAAAAATGTAAATGTATTTTATTGGGATGTTATGTGATAGACCAACACAAAGTGGCACATAATTGTGAAGTGGAAGGTAAATGACAAATGGTTTTCAAAATTTTTTTTTACAAATAAATATTTGAAATCTGAATGAATACTTTTTCAAGGCACTGTAAGCCACCGGCCCTGGTGATATTTTCCCATTACGTTTTTCAAGTCTTGGCTTCTGTTAGTCACAAGGGTACAATTCTTGCTGTGTTGCTAACAATAATGTCTTGTCTATTATACCCCTCCTTTTACATAGTAAAAACTGAGGAGAAGAATGTATTTAACACAGTTGCCTTCTCCCTGTCATTGGAGACAACTTCCCCGATTATCATTTATAAAGCCAATCTGTTCTGATTTTGCCTTTTTGCTATTAACATATTTTTTTAAAATTAGGATTCTTTTTACTCTCCTATGTGTCTCTCGTGGGCTGTTTTCGCTGCCCTGGCTGTGCTCTTATATTTCTTTTTGGATTCTTTGTAGTGTTGGAATGCTGATGATGTCCCCTCAGACTTATACTTTTCAAAGTACAGTTTTCTCTTTTTAATGTGTCTTTACGCTCAAATTTAGCCACCCAGGTTTAACCATGGTTCTTTTATATCTGTTGTCCATTGGAATACACTGGCTAATGTCATTAATTCCATGCAACATAAATTGCACTCAAATGATAGATGAATGATAACAGGCACATCAGGTAGTTTTGGATCTGGTAACAAGTCACTGTGTGGATAAACCCTCTGATCTCTACATTCAGGACCGGCTGCAGGTGGAGAGGGGATAGGAACCGGAGCTGGGGCTGAGATGGACCGCAGGTGGAACGCATCACTGTGCTGGGAGTGTCCGCATCACCGGAAGTGATGCAACAATGTTTCGGAGCATGCACACCATCATGGGGGAGTGCTCCTTTGTCAAGCTTGGACACGCCCAGCACAGCACTGAATTCCACCTGTGTAGGAGTTATAACAAACATTTTTTATGATAGGGTTTGAAGGTATAGCCCTCCAAAGATCTCCAATGTAAGGGGTATTCTTCCCAATGGCCACCAATAAAGGGACATTCTTCCCACTACCCACCAATGTAAGGGGCATTCTTCTCACCAGCCTCTGATATAAGGAGTATTCCTCCCACCGAGCACCAATGTAAGGGGTATTCTTCCCACTGACCTCCAATGTAAAGGGTAATTCTTCCCACTGACCTCCAATGTAAAGGGTATTCTTCCCAATGGCCACCAATGTAAGGGGCATTCTTCCCAATGGCCACTAATGTAAGGGACATTCTTCCCACTGCCCACCAATGTAAGGGGCATTCTTCTCACCAGCCTCTGATATAAGGAGTATTCCTTTCAACGACCACCAATGTAGGAGGCATTCTTCCCACTGACCTCCAATGTAAAGGGTATTCTTCCCACTGACCACCAATGTAAGGGACATTCTTCCCACTGAGCACCAATGTAAGAGGCATTCTTCCCACTGACCTCCAATGTAAAGGGTATTCTTCCCAATGGCCACCAATGTAAGGGGTATTCTTCCCACTGACCACCAATGTAAGGGACATTCTTCCCACTGAGCACCAATGTAAGAGGCATTCTTCCCACTGACCTCCAATGTAAAGGGTATTCTTCCCAATGGCCACCAATGTAAGGGGCATTCTTCTCACTGATCACCAATGTAAGGGACACGCTTCCCACTTTGCCACCAATGTAAGGGGCATTCTTCCCAAGTATTCTTTTATTAAAAGTCTTGCAATCAATAAACATAAAATCAATATACAGAATATACATAAATATATACATATTTACATAAAAACGAAAATAAATATAGCAAAATCTGCTGTCAGACAAAAGTAAAACTCTCATAAATGAACATGTCAGTACTGGGGGAAATAAATCTTACTAAGGCTCACATCACTACACCAGACATCAAACCTGAGAGGTCAAGAAACAACCCCGCCCCATTATGGATGCAGACCTTCTTCAAAAAGAAGATTTTAACCAACAAAAACTAAGGGAGGGAAAAGAATAGCATAAGAAAAGAGCCCCTCCCCCGGAGATGGACAGTTCACCAAAGGCAGGTCTGATATTCCTCCACACCCTTATCCAGACCACCCGAGACTCCCTGCCCTTCTCAAGACCCCGAATCTTCCCAACCTCACCCAGAATATCATGCACCACCACCTCAATAGGGAGGACTTTCTTCTGCAGGGTAATCTGACACGTAAAGTAACGAACAACTATACTAACTAGAAAAAAAACAAAGAAAAGAAAACTATCGGGCTAACCATTCCTAGGCTACCCTCCCGCCTGGACAGGTAAGTTACATTGCGTTTGATCAGGTTCATTTTCCCATAACAGTTGAAAAATACAGCTGTAGACCCTTGCATAGAGAGATACCGGCAAGATATAGATGAAGCTGACATATAAAAAGATCGGGATCAGGTAAGTATTGATCAAGTCAACCCTCTCCCTCAAGGAAAGCCTCTATATCTTCCAGCTTGCTACTTTGGCATTGGCCTCTACCAACCTGCTTTCCCATTTTTGATGACTATAGTCTCCAGGATCAGATTTGTTGCCCAACACTTTAAGTTCCTGCTGGGGCTCCGGGAAGGCATTCGGAAATTCAAAGCTTTCACCCTCCTCACCCATCCAGAAAACCTCACTCTTTTTATGGTTTACTTTAGAGCCAGAAGCCTCCATGTACTGCTCTAATCACAGAGATCACCTCCTGCACCTCCTCAGTCCCAGAGATAATAACAGACACATCATCAGCATAGGCCACGACCTTCCAAGGAGGCGCACCAGCAATGCACAGAGGCATCCTGCACAATGATGTACCCACTAGCCTTCTTAGAGGGGGTCGATTGCAAAAGCAATAGCAGGGGGCTCAAAGGACCTCCCTGGTGCACACCAGAGCCAACTTCAAAAGGCCGTCCAACCCAACCATTAACAAGTGGGAAGCTCTCAGCCCCTCTATATAATGTCTTCAGCCAATCTATAAACCTACCCTGCAGGCCGTATCTATCAAGTAGCAACCACAGATATTCATGATTCACTCGATCAAAATCTTTTGTCTGATTCAATGCCAGCAATTACTTTCTCCATCCAGCAGCCCTGCATCGCTCCAAAGCTTCACGGACAGCCAAAACTGCTGAAAAGGTACTTGTACTTTGGACAGAACAGTGCTGATGGCTTGACAACAAATCGCCTGGTGCTGACGACAAGCGCCAAAAGAGAATCTTTGCCAAGATCTTTCTATCAACATTGAGAAGACTGATGGGCCGCCAGTTCTCAATCATTGAGGGGTCTTTATCTTTTGACAGAAGAATCACAGCGGATTGCCTCATGGAGGGAGGGAGCTAACCCCCTTCTAGACAACTGTTAAAAACCTCTGCTAAAAAGGGAGCCAGAATGGACTTGAAACACTTGTAAAATTCAGCTGTCAATAAATCTGGCGATTTTTTGGTAGCCAGCATGTCTATAGCACAAACTACCTCATCCGCTAAAATTGGCTCTGTCAAATTCATCAAAAGCAATGCACCATTTCCCAATCCTGGAGTAGGATCCAGAAAGCTTTCCATGCTGTCCTGGCTAAGGTCCTTTCTTCCCAGGAGGTCTGCATAATATGACCTAAAGACCTCCAGGATCCCTGATCTGGACTTCACCAGGGAACCCATACTGTCTTTCAGGCCAATGACCGTCTTAAATTCTATACCTTGCTTGCAGTTCTGGTAAGGATCAGGCCAGTGATATTTCCCATAATCCCTCTCCAGAACCAAATAGGCATGCTGGTCATATTCACATTTACTTAGAAGAAGCTTCACTTCAGAGATCTCCCCTGGATCTTTTCCATATGAGACCAGACGATCAACCTTCCTCTGCAAGTGCTGGTAGGCAGTATACATATCAAACTGCTTACTCTTACTTATGGCGTTGAAAAGACCAATCGCCCTTTTTTTTTTTACAAGCTCCCTCCACTTTGATTCACTGCTGCAAAAGTCCAGAACAGAAACCTGTGCCTGAAAAAAATCCTCAAAGGATTGTCTTACCTCTTCATCTTCCAGGAGAGCCAAATTCAGTTTCCAAATACCCGTTCCCCTGGGTGGAGTGTCCAAGGCATTCAGAGTCACAGACAGCATACAGTGGTCAGAGAACTTCACTACCTTCAACTCAGGAGTCGAGAAAGTAGAGTTCTCCTTTAAAAAAAATTGTATCTATCCTGCTCTATTCCCTCTCAGAAATGTGAAACCTGCGCTGTCAGGGTAGTGCTTAATGTGCACATCTACCAGGCCTGCCTGTCTAATCATATGTCCGATAAAAACACTACCATAACCCAGCCTGTCTATGGAGCCTCTCCTGACTTCAGGCCTAATTGTGGTGTTAAAGTCACCTCCAAAGACAACCTGCTGGGATGTAAATAGGAAGGGCTTGATCTTTGTGAGGTGGCATTTCCTGTCCCATTTTGACTGAGGTCCATAGATATTGATCAGGCACAGGTCCTGCCCCCTAACAGAGATGTCTAAGACCAGCATCTCACCATCTCTACCTCAATTATCCACCGGCACATTACCATAACAGATTTAAAAAGCACCGCAACTCCGCTGCAAGGTTCATCCGCAAGAGAACAAAGGAGGGACCACATCTCCATTCCCTTTTTGATAGACATCGGCCAATGTACTGATCCCGGTCTCTTGCAAAAATAAAATCTCAGCATCAAACTCACTGAGCAAAACTAAGGCCATATCACGAGCTCTTGCAGATTTAATGCTGGCGACATTGATGGTCGCCAACTTTAACGGAGCGAGGACTGCCATCAGGATGATTGGGGTAGTCGTTTCTTAACCTCTACCACACTCTGATCACCCGAAACAGTTCTTATCACCCGAATCAGTTATTCCCCATTGTTGGCCTCAGTGACAGGAATTATTCCCCATTGTTGGTCTCAGTGACAGGAATTATTCCCCATTGTTGGTCTCAGTGACAGGAATTATTCCCCATTGTTGGTCTCTGTGACATCAATTATTCCCCATTGTTGGTCTCAGTGACAGGAATTATTCCCCATTGTTGGTCTCAGTGACAGGAATTATTCCCCATTGTCTCAGTGACAGGAATTATTCCCCATTGTTGGTCTCAGTGACAGGAATTATTCCCCATTGTTGGTCTCAGTGACAGGAATTATTCCCCATTGTTGGTCTCAGTGACATCAATTATTCCCCATTGTTGGTCTCAGTGACATCAATTATTCCCCATTGTTGGTCTCAGTGACAGGAATTATTCCCCATTGTTGGTCTCAGTGACATTCCCCATTGTTGGTCTCAGTGACAGGAATTATGCCCCATTGTTGGTCTCAGTGACAGAATTATTCCTCATTGTTGGTATCAGTGACAGGAATTATTCCCCATTGTTGGTCTCAGTGACAGGAATTATTCCTCATTGTTGGTCTCAGTGACAGGAATTATTCCCCATTGTTGGTCTCAGTGACAGGAATTATTTTCCCATGGTGTTGGTCTCAGTGACATTCCCCATTGTTGGTTCAGTGACAGGAATCCCCATTGTTGGTCTCAGTGACAGAATTATCCCCATGTCTCAGTGACAGGAATTATTCCCCATTGTTGGTCTCAGTGACATCAATTATTCCCCATTGTTGGTCTCAGTGACAGGAATTATTCCCCATTGTTGGTCTCAGTGACAGGAATTATTCCCCATTGTTGGTCTCAGTGACAGGAATTATTCCAGGAATTATGCCCCATTGTTGGTCTCAGTGACAGGATTATTATTGTTGGTCTCAGTGACAGGAATTATTCCCCATTGTTGGTCTCAGTGACAGGAATTATTCCTCATTGTTGGTCTCAGTGGAATTATTCATTGTTGATCAGTGACAGGAATTATTCCCCATTGTTGGTCTCAGTGACAGGAATTATTCCTCATTGTTGGTCTCAGTGACAGGAATTATTCCTCATTGTTGGTATCAGTGACAGGAATTATTCCCCATTGTTGTCAGTGACAGGAATTATTCCCCATTGTGGGTCTCAGTGACAGGAATTATTCCTCATTGTTGGTATCAGTGACAGGAATTATTCCCCATTGTGGTCTCAGTGACAGGAATTATTCCTCATTGTTGGTATCAGTGACAGGAATTATTCCCCATTGTTGGTCTCAGTGACAGGAATTATTCCTCATTGTTGGTATCTCAGTGACAGGAATTATTCCCCATTGTTGGTCTCAGTGACAGGAATTATTCCCCATTGTTGGTCTCAGTGACAGGTATTCCAGTGGTCTCAGTGACAGGAATTATTCCTCATTGTTGGTCTGTGACAGGAATTATTCATTGTGGTATCAGTGACAGGAATTATTCCCCATTGTTGGTCTCAGTGACAGGAATTATTCCCCATTGTGGGTCTCAGTGACAGGAATTATTCCTCATTGTTGGTCTCAGTGACAGCAATTATTCCCCATTGTTGGTCTTAGTGGGAGGAATAGAGCCACATATAGATAAGCAAAGGGCCACATCCGGCCCCTGGGCCGCAGTTTGGAGACCACTGCATTAAAGCCTCAGTTTTTACACAGATTAGACTCACCTTGGCAGACCTTGCAGCATTTGCCCTCCACCTTCTCCGGATAGTCACATGGATATTCCTCAGGACACGTGACCCTCTGACAGTCCTGACTGCCGTCCTTACAGGTGCATAGGATAC